AGAGATCCTGCAAGAGGAATAAAAGGCTTGTAGCTCACCTAGATAAGTAGTCAACGTTTAATGAGTCAACAAAGAAAATACACAATTCGCAAAAGTTTCCATGAACATTAAATATTGTCAGCTAAAATCTAACATTTACTTGTACACATTTGAAAAAAATATGATGCCACCGAAAAAGAAACGTGCATGCAAAGGTTCATCTTCCTCAGTCTGTTAAGTTCAGAGGGCTTAAAACACAGCCGTGACGCCACTGTTTAAACGAGCCATTATTTTTCTCGAATGGCAAGTTAGTTGTCAGGTATGTACACTTGGAATTAACGGAACTGTTCCTTTTATATTCTAACACTCAAGTAACTTTAATTTCTTTGAATTTTATGAGAAAGCAAGTATCGCCAAGGGGGTTCGAACCTCATTCTATAATTTGAGGACGTGAAACAGTCTACCTCGCACATGACACAACATTTTGACATTAACTGATAATAGTTAACGTTTTCAAAGTTGCATAATCCTTAAAAACTGGGTTGAACGTCGCTTTTAACAGTATTCCAGTTATATCACGGCGTGTAAGCTTACGGTGAGGGCTGTAGTGTCTCCGAGTTTTACCATTGCGGGACCCGGCGATTCTTATTCACGAACCGATAGTCATGTGTATTCTCTACTCAACAGATTTACAAAATTTGCCAAAAGGGTTAAAACAAGGTCAAGCTTTAGCATATCGCCGCGGCCATTTTGAAAATTATGGCTTCGAACCTCTTCAACCAATATAGGTGTCATTATTGGATGAAACAAGCGTGCAAGTTTCAGTTTTACAGGTCCAGTGGTTTCTGATGTGAATATGATTACATACCCCGGCGCCAGACAAGCAGGCACTGGCGTTAGCTCACTTGATTTTCAGTCAGGTGAGCTCTACAAGTCAAATTATGTAATCTCGGCCTGTTTTACCTAACATTACACGATGTATGTGTGACCTGATATGGACCTGGAGTGGGTCGATTCTCTATCTGTTTTCAGCGTCTAAGATTACCGGGTTATTCCCCATGTAAATGTTACAAACAGAGCAGTGAAAATACCCATGAAATGTGCATTGATTTGGCGTTAAGGCTGAAGTATTTATAGGCAATGTTGACTCCGGGCCGGACCAGTGTTAGACTCGGGCGGGCATCACCGACTGATAGACTGTCGTATCGTACAGTCACATTGGCAAATGCACACAGTCGATCAAAAGGGGGCTGGGGGGAAGCGGAGTCATATTGGCATTTAGATGGAGTGCGAGATGAGGCGAAAATGTCGAGAACATGTCGACTTTGATGAAGAACAGGAAGCATTTCAACACTTGTGTTTTCTATTGAAATAGACCCAACTGAATTCAAAGCACGGCAGTTGAAAAATATTTCCGTTATAGAAATCCCATGGTACAGACAATTAAATATCAGACGAAGAGGCAAGTTGATGCCGTATTTTACAAGCGAAGGGGGTTCACAACCTAATGAAACTATATTTCCGACGTTTATCGACATCGATATTGTAATATACTCAAAACAGGATGTAGCGATGTAGGATTTTACGAGTAATCGGCAAAAACAACGTTCATAATAACCTTGGACAGTGGGACTTAAGGCCAGTTAATATATAACGTCAACGTCATAGAAGAAGCAATTTTAGGAACGGGTGGGTTAACACAAACAGGAAATTCACTTTAGTGTTCACGTAAATAGACAAGTTCGGATATAACGAACTGATTTCATAGGTCCCTTGGAGCTCGTTATATAGTGGTCTGCATGCATGAAGACGTAGTAAGATAGAGGATCTGCCCGCGAATCGGAAGATATGTGGTTCGACACCCGGCTGCGTCATACCAAAAGTAATTAATAGATTATGGTACTTGTTGTTACCATGCCTGGAGCTTTGCATTAAGGGGACAAAACAAGGACTGGTTACCACGGAGTCAGCATAATAGGTATGAGTGGGGTATTAATGTCATACGACGGGATGGTATCTCAGTGGCTAGCACTGTAGACTCTTTACTAGTACAAGCAGACACTTCACTTCACAAATGCAGTGATCAATACTTTAACTGTAAAGTCATCTTCCCAAGGCAAGGGAGTTAACTGACTATAAAAGTCCAGTTTCCAGGGCTTTTACATTCAGTTGACTCCCTTCCCTCGGGAAGATGCTGCCAAGTAACAGTACATCATCACACATCCAATAATTCACGCAAAACGTAACGTTTAACTACGCTTCAGCACCATTTCAGCCACAGCACGACAGTGCACACCATGTCAAATAAGCAGTTTCAAATACTGTACCGGAATCGAACCCGGGTCTTCGGTGTGATGAGCTAACGCTTTTATCACTGGGCTACCCTACCGCCCTATATGTTAGGATGTGACGTGAGGGACAATGGTGAGTATTGGCTGGCACGCATGGCAACAATTACGATCGCAATTCAGGCATCGCTGTCAGAATACTTTCGTAATCATTCATCACACGTTTGTTTCATAATACCTTCTGTCAATACTGTATCCGTGAACCATTGTGGCAATGTACGTACTTGACCTCCGGTCGTATTTCGTTATACAGTCGATGCTTTCAGTACTAGATAAATAAATAAAACCTTAGGGACCGACTCCTTGATATTCGCGGGGGGACGGGAGGGTGTAAGGATAAATTGAAAAAAATTACATTGTTGCAAGGTGTTTTACTTTAAATAAATACTCAGACTCATTTTTTAATAAAAATATATCTGGTTTTGCAGCTGTAGCTGAAAGACATTATATATAATAATAAAAAAAATACCAATAGCGTCATATTCCATTCACCAACGTGATGTTCAGCGTTGCTTGACTGACGGCAAAGAGAGCTGTGAAATAAAATTAATTCAACGAACAATCTGGCTTTTGAATTCCTGAATCGTTGCTGATGTTATCTACTCCTAGCTAGTGTTCTGTGATATAGCTGTTATATTGTTCACAACGACATACAATACAATTTACGCACCCCCTCCCTCTTCCCCCTCCTCCTCCCCTCCCATCACCAGTCGCTATGTCAACGTAACATTGTGTGATCATGCAGTCGATACATGCTCTTGTCATCGATTTTATTTCATGACACGGTGCAATGAAATTAATTGTCTGTTATTTTGAGTTTTGCTAAAACCGCAGAGGGAATTGGAGGATATATTGGGGTCAGTGGCTCCGTCTATGGCAGCAGGGTTCCCTGCCACCACTCTGAAACAGTGCATTGGCCAGTGGTGCTAACCCTGTCCCCTACATTCTCTAGACAGATGATAAGATCGATTAACAGATGCAGCAACTCGGAATAACTCGGAATAAAAACATGATATGGATGAAATACAGAAATAAGGACTGAGAACACCGACTGAGCACACAGTCTCAGCAATTGCTTGTTTTCCCACCTCGGATACATGGTAATGTATTTAACATATCAATAAAAAAAACAAGAGAAACGCTAAACAGTGAAATAAATAATGTCAACGTAATAGAATAACTAGTCTCGATTATCGCCCGAAACAGATTCCATCGGACGCAAAAGGCTTAATACCGGCGAAAATTACAGCCGCTGATCAGTGATGACACCAGGTGTTCGCGAAAGGGATAAACACGTCCTTGCCCGGTATCAACTGTCACTCACACAATTTGCAAAAAAATGAGTGTTTGTTGTATGCAGCCACACAACAGTACTCCCAAACCTCGTTCAACCGGACGATATACATTTCCAATGAAAGAGTCCGGATTACCAAATGTCCAGATAAACGAATCACAGGAACAGAGTAATGTCCTTTGCTTGATTTAGACGTCCCGGAAATGGAGGTTCCTGGAATAAGGCGGCCCGGAGTACCCATTCAGTTATTTATGTAATTGTCGTTAAAGAATAATTCTGGTTTAAAGACAAGTTCCTGTAAACTTTAGCAGATCGGTACCATCTCAACACATTCATGTAAAAACATAAAAGAGAAAATCGTATTATTTTCAAATCAACATTAAACATACATATGACCATCATATAGCAGCAATTGCTAGTTGGTTTCGTTTAGGTAATCAGCGGCAGCGAGTATGGTTTTACGCCGCTTTTAGCAAGACACCAGAAATGGGCTTCACACATTGTACCCATGTCGGGAATCGAACCCGGGTCTTCGGCGTGACGAGCGAACGCTTTAACCACTAGGCTACCCGACAGGCCCTTCAGGTAATCATGTTGTAAACGTCAATAACTTGTATCACACAGACCTCTCCCAAAAGGTTTAAGCTGGCACGTGTGATATAACTGAAATACCTTTCAAAATGGAGTTAAACCTTCCCGTTCACCCACTCCTACGCCTTTAATAGTGAGTGAGTATGGTTTTACGCCGCTTTTAGCACACACATTGTTCCAATGTCGGGAATCGAACAGGGATCTTCAGCGTGACGAGCGAACGCTTTAACCCCTAGGCTACCCGACCGCCCCCAAACGCCTTTAATAACATACAGGAGCTTCCCAAGGCAGCACAGAGACCTTGCGTAAACGACGTCGACTTTCAATGTAAATGTGTCTAAAGGTATTGCTTTTAAAAGTTTTGCAAATGCATTTTCGACATTCAAAAGTTTTGTGAACAGTTTACCTGACATGTAATAGAATCGGGATGTTTTACTAAAAATACTTCCAACTTCATTCGTATTCAAGCATCCCCAAAATACGTACTCTCTACCCAGTGTTTTATTTTTTTAATCTTTTGAACATAACAGAGCTAGGTCTAATTGCGTACATGAAATGATAATAGCCGGCCATGGTGCAAGGATATTAGACTTTAGAAATGTTAATATTGCATATTGTGGAGCTGTACGCCTTGAAAAAAGTAATGCACATCACTTTCCAAAAAAAGATATCAAAACTCAAGGCTACTCACGCAGTCACGCCTCTCGGCGTCATAATCACAAATGTTCATATTTGATAGTTTCCAACGGCGCCAGTGCAGCCATATTGGTTACAAACGATTGACTTACTGACTCATACGTCCATCCGTAGTATCTTGTCACGTGCAGGAACCTTGACACCGCTTCCAGAACACTCCGTTCCCTTGCACGTTTTCCAGAGCAGGAAGTTCGGATGTAAACTAAAAAACATTCGTTACAATAATTCGCTGGAAAGTGCCGGAATAGTCCATGTTTTCAGCGAGGGTGGAGGTGGGTGTTTCGTCTCTACTACGCATTCACCTCCATTCTGCAGGAACTGCAAGATGGTCATCAGTTTCCGATACGAATCACCCGTTATATGGATGCATGGGTAAGCTCCAGAACAAAGAGTACGGTGTGGACTGGTTTTATGGGATTTGAAGCGTACGCTTTGTTTGTGACTGACCCAATTTCACATGGTTGAGTCTTTCGACCGTTTGGATAATGAGGCAATCGATACAGCTTGCAAGATGGCGGCAATCGTCACGTGATAGTGTGCAACGCAGAACAGGCAGGAGTGGGGGAGGGGATGGCAGCATGTCGATATGTGAGGCGTAATAACATTGGCATATTGTGGACCAAGTCCTGCAAACAATCGACTTCAAGGCTAATGTTTAGTAATAGCGTTTTGTTCTGTGACATCCGTCCCTAAGTTGAGTGCCAAGTTGAGTGAGTAAACAATGTATATGGTACAGGCAAAGTATAAAATCAGTCAATGAGTAAATAATTGAAATTTTAACTGTGGCAATTTTACACAATGACTTGACATTTCAGTCATGTAACAAATTGCCTGAATGTCAGTCCCTTAACTTGACAGATTGAGTGAAGTTCCACGAATTCCAAACATTTTTATGTTGAATTTCATCACGAAGTGGCTGAAAATGATAGGAAGCAACCGAAACTTGAATGTATATTTTTTACATATTTAGGTTTTTTAATTAAATCTATTGTGATATTTTTAAAGCCCCTTTGAACGTCTTATTAATACTTATTTTAAGTCAATCTGCCGGAGAGATTGTTCAGTCAAAGTGTAAAATAACTGAAATATTTAAGCATTAAGCACAATGCCTAAGTGAATCAATTGTCTGAACAGTTCACTCATTTTACAAATTGACTGTAACATATGTGTGAGTGAGTGAGTGAGTTGGGTTTAACGCCGCTTTTAACAGTATTCCAGTTATATCGCGACGTGTCAGCTTAATGTGGGAGGAAAGCCCGAAGTGATGCAGGTCTTAGACGTTTACCACTTCGGTGAAACCCACGAGCACGGGTATGGTGCTGACAAACCTAGAAACATAATCTGGGCGAACCGGGATTCGAACCCACAATCATAGGTTTCTGGCGTGCCCAAGGGACGCAACTCTGCAGAGCGAATCGCGGCGCCTTAGACGACTGGGCCACCCGTGCCCCCTGTAACTTATGTATTAGGCAAGCAAACATGGAGTTCCGATAAACATGTCATGAATTTGACGCTGGGTGTTGAGGGCAGAGAATGATTATCATATATATAATAGGATGGAGCTGTACAATCAAACAGGAACAGGAAATTCGGTAAATTAATAACTCAGATTAATAACATCTGATTTTTTCCAGAGTTTCTGTTCGTAGAGTTAATACGTGTACTTGCTCTGTTTTTTTCAAACGGAATTAATAGAAAATGTGAAGACAGATTCACATAAAATTAAAATCGACACAAAATGTCCAGTACGATGGTGTTAGAGTCGAACTATGATCTATCTATTACTAAAACTAGGGGACACGAGTAGCTCAGTGCTCTAAATCGGCGACGTTCAATGTACAGAGTTGTGTCAAAACATTCATACGAGGTTCGAATTTGTGAGATTCGCCCTGATTTTCTTTTTTGTTTGTCAGCACCAGAACCCCGCTCGCGTCTAAAGTAGCAGACGTGACAATCCTGCATCACTTTGTGATTTCGTCTCACATCCATCTGACGCTCCGTGATGTAACTGAAATACTGTATAAAGCTGCTTTACAACTCACTGCTAAAAGTAAAAAAAAATTTGAGCTCATCCGAACTCGACCACCAACACTGTGAGACAGGCTACAGGCGCAACCATTTGATAATCGAGGGGTGGTTGGGGGTGTAACTGCTGCGATTTTGTTTCGGGATTACAGAACAAAATTAGATATCTTGTTTCCTATTTGTGAGCTTAATTATTTGAAAGAAAAACACATTGCAACAATGTAATTTTTGTGTCAGGATTTTTTCATAAAAACGTCTGCAGCTTAATATTTTTTTCGATACAATCCCAACCTCCCCGAATGACAAATGGTCTGTCCCTAACCCGGGCGATTGTCTGGACTACTTGGTTCCTGGATAATGAATATTGCAGAGGCGATAGTTTGTTCCTAAATCAAGCAACACGATTAACCGACTTGCCTGTTGGTTGGCCACACTCCGCAATACTCCAGCTATATGACGGCGTCCTGTACATCGTGTCTTGACCAGAAAAAAAACTGTGATTGATATCATGAGCAACGATCCCCGCATTCGCCGGGATAGGCTATCAACCACATTACCGAGCCTGACCACCCGATCCATGAAGCTGAAGAACAATTCTATTCTGGCACCCTACACGCATAAAGCATCATACCATTACCGTTACGCTATGAATTATTTACCTAGCTGAAACAGGGATGGCCCAGTGGTCTATGACGGTGCATAACTTTTCAGAGTTGTGTTCCTTAGCCATTCCGGGATTCGCTCCCCCCCCCCCCCCCCCCCCCCCCTCCCCATTGACCAAAAACGGTGATGGTGCAGATAAACTAATTATAAAATTGGTCGACTGGTTCAAGACCAGCCCACATGGATGAGAAGAAGACTCAAGTTTGAAACACGACGTCTTATTTAACGCTGTACTAGCTGTTCACACCATCACTCAATGGTTTGTCGGCACCAGGCCCGATACCAGACCCCCTTCACCCAATTGCTGGTAAATGGGACTTATAATCACCATTACCCACTCGCCTACAGCATTGGTGTTACTGAACTTGCATTACGGTGGGTAGCCTAGATGTTGAAGCGTTACTCAACAAGCTGAAGACTTGGTTTTGATTCTCCCCATGGTTACGATCTGTAGTGAGTTAGTGAGTATGGCTTTACGCCGCTTTTGGCATTATTCCAGCAATATCACGGCGGGGGACACCAGAAATGGGTTTCACAAATTGTACCCATGTTGGGAATCAAACCCGGGTCTTCGGCGTGACGAGCGAACGCTTTAACCACTAGGCTACCCGGTACAACCTGTAAAGACAATCTCTGGTGTCACCCAACATAAAATGGCTGGAATATGGTTGAAAGCGGCGTAAACCTCCACTCACTCATCTACTCACTCACTCACTCACCCACCTACCCACACCCCTTTCATCCACTCACTCAAAGATTGGTAATATTATCATTTGGCTTCGTAAATCTTACAATGTCGGCTACAAATGCCTCACCTCCCTCCAGAACAAAAAGTATGTAAAACAATCTGGATCAATGATCCTTCGAATATGAAAACTAAGGCCCAACACTTTGCAGTGGTTCGGTCTCCTATTTCTAACCGTCGTTCGTCAGCATACAGAGGCGTATCAATTATTAATCAACCCAGGTGACTAATTACAGTCTATGGTCTCGGTCGAAATGCAACACCTAGTTGGCACGAAGCACTCAGTAGAGAAATATGGAGTCAAAATCAAAGTCAATATAACAACGGTATTTAAAGCGCCACGAGAAAAATAAGTATTTCTGTCCTGGCTGGCTGGACGTTGTCATAGTACAATACAGGGAAGGTGTGAGAGGGTGGGTGAGTCTGTGGGGGAATCGATGAATGAGACGCTGGGTTGGTCGGTGGGTGAGACGGTAAGTCAGTTGGTGAGTGAGACGGGATTGATTCTCTCGGTGACGGTAGTTGAGTAGTGTATGGGTGAGTAGTTTGTTGAGATGATGGATGAGTCGGAGAACGAGTGTGTGATTCGGTGAGTGGGACGGAAGTTGAGTAGTGTATGAGTGAGTAGTTTGTTGGGATTATGGATGAGTCGGAGAACGAGTCTGTGTGTGATTCGGTGAGTGGGACGGTAGTTGAGTAGTGTATGAGTGAGTAGTTTGTTGGGATGATGGATGAGTCGGAGAACGCGCCTGTGTGTGATTCGGTGAGTGGGACGGTAGTTGGGGGTGCTTGCAAATGAATGTGGGGGCTGAAATATAAACGCATGAGTCGGTCGGTCGGCCAATCGGTAAGCTTTTTGAGTGGGTGATGCGGTGAGTCAAAATAGTGTGAACGAAGTGGTTTGGTGAGTGTTTAAGTGTGCAATTAGATGAGTTGATGAATGAGTGAGTGAGTGGTGAGGGCACTCTGCGTGTCCGTGTTTTGAAATGGTCCGTGAGGTGATTGGTTGACAATACACATCCGGAATGAGTGAGTTGAATTTTATGCCGCTTTGAAACTCAGCATTTCAGTTATGAGTAATGCAAGTCTGAAACCTTAGTGAAATCCACAACCACGACCACGGGTATGGTGACAACACAAAAATTATAATCAGGGCGAATCTGGGACTCGAATCGACCCAGGATACAAGCACACCTCAGGGACGCACATAGAATTACGGCGCCACAGGCATTCGAGGTATCCGCTATGTAAGTATGAGGACCAATAGGGTTGCACTGCCCCAGATATACAGAAAAGGGGGTATAACTTTGTATGGACTTCCGGAAAGCCAACCAACCAACAGGGGGAGTCAGTTGTCACATTTGTGTGACTCCGGTCGGTCGAATCCGTAAATCCCAAACTTAAAAAACCCGTTGCCTTGGTATCAAGTCACTCCGTATCGCATACATGTAGCCTAAACCTATAAGGTAGATCTTGTGTCGAGCCCGTAGTTTAGTATGGATCCTTATGGCCTGCAGGGATTTATTTGTCACAATAAGCTGAAGGTTTTTAAAAGAGCGCATGAAGAGTTTAGTCACGGCCTGCAGTTTCTTTAGTGTTTGGGTCTTGATGGCAGCCTGGCAATCTTTTAAAATTTCAAACACTGCACCGAATGACTGAATACACTTTTATCGCCATTGTTAAGTGTGCATTAACCCAAGTCGAACCAACTAAGCCCACGATCACGTGGCAATGATGAACGTTGTGCATTGTCTCTAGGGAAAGCATTCAATTAGGAATGTTTACAAATCGACGTGGTGCCTTTAAGACCACGTTATTTTGAAGTCCCCATCACTCAGCGATCTGGAGGCAGGAACTTCGACACGTATATTGATTGTGCTGGCGTCTTTCGTCAGGTTGTGGGCAAGTTGATAGAATGGAGAATATCGCTTCGATATCTAAAGTAGAGATACAGCTGCAATGTAAGAGAGTTTCATGTGCTATTCTCGTCTTTTTTGCAATAAGGAGCACGCTGCATCGACATTCACTGTGCAGAGTTGCGTCCCTTAGTGG